CCTTGGATGTGTTACACCAAAGGTTTGTCAAGGCCTCGATGCAAGAACGGAAGAGTCCTCACCTAGAGCGCATGGACAACCTGACTACCTACCACATAGTTTGATCCAAATATGTGGTGCCGGAAATCAAAGTCCACCAACAAGCATCCAAGAAGCCCGTTTTCAGGAACGAACCTGGGCATGGAGGACTTCCTCATTATATTTAGGGCTCTAGATGGCTCTACTCTGCTTTCCTTGGATGCTTTCATCAGGTTTCCAGGAAAAACGGCACCTCTGCGACTTCTGCTCAGAAGACGTCGCACCCTGAACACATCTGACCCGGGTCGCCCAGGTTCCTCCTGTCGCCGGAAATGGCTCAGGGTGGCCGCCTCGGTCCGGTCCGGACGCGAAGGAACCAGCCCCGTTCGTAGCGTCCGATCGCTCCTAGTAGCGCCCATGGAAGACTCGAAAGGACTCGGTTCATTGGGAGTATCTCATCTATATAATCTTCCACATGCCTCCACATAGAGATGGTCAAGGACATGAAATATCTTGATTGGCTCTGTCAGTCTGTCAGTTCTTTCTTCACAGGTTGCTTGTTTGGCCCTTGTCTCTAAGGGCACGACTGAAATGTGCTCACTCACCACGTGCAGCTCTCCGCTTACACGTTCTGGCAACCTCGAGGGTCACTGGGGCTCTGGGTAGTGCGGACACTGTAGTTATGCTCACCATCCAATAGCCTTCCAAATTGTAGCAAATCCATACAAATCCACCATTAAGGTCATTAAAGCACTTCTGGGATATGCGCATGCTGTAGCTGGATAAAGCTATCTGAGTCCATCAGTCCATCGACGGAAGGAAGACTGCAGGGGATTCGATCTGGAACGACCACGTGACCATGACTCATGCTTCCACAGAAAGGTGGCAATGGCCCACCAATGCCATGGTAATGTAGACTCTTGATGAATAAAGTCCCTAGACATGGATTGTAAAACCTCTTCAGGCTTGGGGGGTTGTATTCATCAAGAGTCTACATTGTGGGTAGAACTGTTGTCGCAGGCCATGTCCCATCATATCCACATCCTCCAGCAGAACATTCTCAAAGGGAAGAGAACATTCTCAAAGGGAAGAGGCCCTCTGCTGAGCGCCCAAAACGGTTGGTTCTAAATGATTTCAATGAATGATATCCTATTCATTTGGTTCTTTGATGTTTACTGTAGGGAAAACTTAACTGTATATGTATAGCTAACAAACCACTGCATTGCATGCTTCACTGATCCACAACTGAAGAATGTCATGAACTGAAAACCGATGGCACCATGAAAACAAAGGGAACGCTTTTGGGGGAAGGCCAAGTTTGAGACATCTTGACACAAGATCTGTTCCAATGCTCCTGGCAGGCTTTGTGCGAATGCGTGAGGACCACGCGAAAGATCTTGACACATGGCTGGTCAAAACCCGGAAGCCCAAACCCTTAGGCCTTGTAGTTTGGCCTCCCTGCTAGTCTGTTCACTTGTTGGCATGTTGCTCTTGGGAGAGGCAAAATTCTGCGACTCCCGACACCTGCGAGACGTGCCAACGCCGGCCGTCGGTGGCCTCGGTGGCTGGCCGTCGGGCGTGGTTGAAATCCGAGTTTTGGGAGGCCTGGGAAGCATTGGAATCAGAACATATCCCAGACACTACACAATATAGTATATATATAGAGTTATTTGTTCTTATGCCTACATTGCTGTGGTATGCTGTGGTTTCATCTTGGAATGAGAGGGACAAAGCAAGAAAAAGCAACGGATGCTGATGGATTCCAACTCGAGCTGGCAGACTTCTCCGAGCTTCAGGCGAGATGGAAGGTCAAGAGGCCCGCCTGAAGCTAGGCATACAGCAGTGAAAATGTGGCAGATTTCCTTCGTCATTCGAAGTTCATTGGCATGTGCAGAGATAGATTCCATAGACAATATCGCAACATTCAATGTGCCTGCGTTGACCTCTGAAACGACTCTGATATAGGCAAGTAGGCCACGTTCACGGAATGTTATTGAACATCAAAACCACAGGTCCACAAAACCCCAAACCCTTCTTCTCCAGGTCCGAACCGAATCAATGGAAGCACCAATACGACTGCCGAACGAATCCGCAGCACTTCGGATTCATTGCATCGAACGAGTCGACTGAGTCGACTGTGTCTTGAGTCGACTGTACAAGGATGACTGCATTCATTCCTGTGTGGACTGCAAGAGAGAGACACCCAGTCCAACCCCGAAGTGGAATAAACAACCGAACAAGGGTCTCCTGTGCTTCCTAGGTGGTTTGCGAGCAAGGCGCGACACTGTAGCCACGGCAGGTAGGGAAGTTGGGCCAAAAACAAATGAAGGACATATATATATATAGAGAGAGAGAGAGACAGTAGAGTCTGTAAGCAACCAAACAATCAGGAATAGCTGTTGAAAGAGTTGTGGAATGTTGCCTGGAGGCTAGTAGAATTATTTTGCCTGCATTCTTGCTTGGACATATTCTGCGCATTCCATCTCTACTATTTAACTATACTCATATATAATCACGTATACACACAGTATGTCAAAGAGAAATAACCTGACCCACGAGTACAGAAAGAAAATAGACCTCAAAACGCCGTGGGCCAGGCGGGGTCTCCCTCTTCGAACTTCACACAACACCTGGATCATTTGAGCGTCTGCCAAAACGCGCTGTCAAAAAAATATGACATTGTTGAGCAAGGCTATTGCTCTTGAGGGGGCCTATCGCTTTTGCCGGTGTCAGCCAAACCTCCCGAAATTCACCACCGCTCGGTCACATCAAGCTCGTCCGGTTGCAGCATATCCCTCTTCAGGTCCACCTCTTCGACCGACACATCAGGTCCAGTCGGTCGAACCGTGACCTCGTCACCGTTCCATCCACTCTGCTTGGACTCATCGATCCTGAGAGTCGCGCCGGTCATCGCAAATGTCGATGGCGCCCAGCCGCCGGGATGGACTGCCATCGTGAAAAAACCGTGACAGGTGTCCAAGTCTCAGTTTCTGCCAAGCCTAGCAACAGTGATTAGTCTCACACCCTGTTCGATGCAGTGCAGAAGCTCAATCCTGGCCAACTTATGTGTGTTTGGCCAAATATAAGACACCATATCATTCGACATATAGTAATTGATAGTAATTGTAATACATCCTATAATAGTGATTGCTATCGTATGTATTAGATCATTAGACGTTTGTGTTGTACAAGCTTACCTTCACCCTATACTTCCAGATTCGGCCAGCCGGCCATCGGCCATCGGCTTGGCTGAAGCCATGCAGATCTTCCAAATTTGGAGCAGGTGAGAAGTAAAAGCCCCGTGTGAGTGAGAGATGCCTCTGAAAGTCTTAGCAGTTGTAGTGCAGTTCTAGGGCATCTCGAGAGGTACGTGAAGGCTCTAGGGACCCTGTCTACTGTTCAACTATTTCATTACCGCGATTAAACAGAAACCTGCACCGATGGTCAGATGCCTTTGTTGTCTCTTGGTTGAAGGATGCATATGGTCCTGTTTGGTCTATTGCTGCGCTGCGCACGTTTTGCACAAGAATATAGTTTCATTACCAAAAAAAAAAAGAATCATCGATCCATGGTTCCATGTTTGCAGCGTCTCTGTCTGATGACGCACATTTATATGTTGACCTGATGACGCACACTAAAACCATATAAAACCCATCAAACCGCAACTTCATCCCACTCGGATGTCGACAAAAAGCCCGCGGTCAATTCCGGGTTTCGACGGTGCCAGGCACCCGGACCCGGCGGACCACGTCGCCGAGGAGCCGGTGGCTGCCTCGCAGCTGTCCTCCGCGAAAAGCAAAGGCCTCGTGCTGTCTCGCATGGATGGCCCAACGGCCATTTGGCTACGAACGGAGCAAGGACGCTACTAGGGGCTCCTGGCCTTACTACTAGGAGCAAGAACGTTACTAGTAACAAGGGCATGTCCAACATCTTCAACCTTCTCATCTTGCTTCAAATCAAGTCGGATCTCATGCCGACTCCTAATGACTCCTACATCCGTTCTTGAGGTTGATATCATTGATCTTGCACCAATCAAACATCTAAACATCTTCATCTTGCTTCATCATCCTGGTTGATCTTACATATTTCTATCTAATTCTCGAAAGCCGACTCCTAGGCCAAGCGAGTCGCCCGCCGTAGCACCCTCAGGACCGAACGCCATGCTTGCCACGGCCAATCGAAGCATGGCGTTCCCCATGGCACTCCGCCACAGTTTGGTCAGTGACTCGATGGCTTCAGCTGAACGGTCCTGAATGGTTGCGTCTGTGGATAATTCCGTAATTGAACTCTGAGGATTGTGTGGATTCCGTGGATAATTCATGATAATACTAATGCCTTCACACAGTGCCTACATTTATTGGGAGTTGCTGTCAAACTGTTGGTGGGCTCTGGCGGCAAAAGATGCCTAAAAGTGCCAACGCAACTTTGGCAACTTATGGCCAAGCACACGATACTCCCTGCTTAGCGCACTAAGAGCTGGTCAGTTGGATGGTCGAAGGATTGGCCTACGGTCATCGGCCTGTCGATTGGCTTCTTGAACAAATGGCAGGTCATTGAGTCCTACTTGGACAGGCCGTGCAGCAATTGTGTATCCCAAAACTGTGGATAGCTGATTGATTTGGGTGCTAGATTGAAGGTGCTAGCCACATGTCCCACATCAAAGAGCAGTAGCTATACCCTCAGAAGAGCCATGTCCTTCAGAAGTACCAGAAGCAGAATCCTGACTTGCCCGTTCAGAACTGACACGCAAGCTCTCCGATCTAATTGGGGATCTCGCAGTGATCATGGTGTCATGGTGTCATGGGAACACCCTTAGTGCCCTGGACGGCTCAACAAGGGCTTGGTTTGTTCGTGAACGCCTGGGGTTTGGGTGATTTATTGATTTCTTGATGGTGTTCACGGGTGTTCAATTCAATGGTTTCAGGAGGCATTGGCCAACTGCAGGTGTCTCTGTGCTGCCAACTCCAAACAAAGGCCTCTTTTCGCCAAATGACTCTTTGGTCATCAGCTAAGTGGCATTCCTCGGCTGAGTCAGCTTTGTCACTGCAAGCTTCCCTGACCCTTCACTACCATCAATGACCCCTTCAAAACACAATATACTGTAACTATTTCAACGTTCAACATATGTTCTTCTCTAACGAATTACCCGCTTTAATTGCTGGCAAATAAGAGTCCACACAGCAAAGAGTTTCAAGACATTGACACAGAGTTCAGTCTGTATGTAGAATTGATTGCGGGTTAAGCATGTTGCTACTCTACTCCTGCTCAAGAAGCTTTCTGCAGACTAATCATGCCTACAAAATAACAGGTGGAGACGCAATGCTGCGCACTACTTTATTATTGGCCAAATAAACATCGAGGGCGGTTCTAAGATCCATTCGACGCCAAATTCCCTCATTCTCAGGAGAATCCTATTTCGACGTTCGTTGCAAGAGCTTATATCCATTACCTGTTATGCGTTCAAGCGTGCTGCTAAGTGCTGCTAGGCCCAGTCATCTACTCCATTTGTTCACTGCGACCTGCTATCTACCGTGCTTATATGATGCTTCCTGTTCACAGCCTTCATCACAATAGCGTACCATCTGATCCTATACACCGAACCTTCGATCAAAGCCACAGAAGAAAATCCCAACAAACACTCTCATTCTGAATCTCCAGCAGCTACTACAAAGGCATATCTATTCCCGCTCCTACCAGCGACCAATCTTCTTTCTGGATTCTGTGGCTCCCAGAATGCATTATTTCCCTATGTAAGTATAGTAAACATGTCAGATAATCTCAACCAACCAGGACCTTTCCATACTTCACGCCACTTTACCATACTTCACCCTCCAGCTCACCACCCAGCTCCTTCCTGTCCAGCATCTTCCTCAGTCTCCGAGCCAACGGAGCCAGACCGCCCCGCTCAGCAGGGCCAGGCTCCCCGCGGCGTGCGCACGCCGCGCGTGGGAACCATCGCCCGCACCTGTGTGTGTGTGTGTTTTTCAAAGGTCACTCCCGAAGCCCGGCCTCATAAAGGTGGTTTTCCATGCGTTTCATTCATAAATGCTCAAGAGAACTGTTGTGTTAATAGATGTTCTTGTAGGTGTTGTTCATCCATAAATGCCACGACATAGCTCATGCTTCAAACCAGATCTTGTAACAAAGTAAGCAACATCATAAACCCCTTATCTGGTGCTACGACAAAGAACTGTCGCACAGTACAAAGGTAAACATATCCAGATTCTTAAAGAACTCATTCCTATTCCTTGGATTGAAACTGCATGTTCATATAACTGCATGCATAATGTTCTACCAGCACCCAGAATCGACCCCCTAAGACAATATGAGGAAAGGAAAAAAACTCGTCACTCCTACGTCCCTGTGCGGACCTAACTCAAACCTTCGGGGAGGAGACTTACTGTACAACTTCCTTTGTCCCATCTTCAATTTTCCGCACCGCTGTCCTGGCGAATGCGTGTCAAAGTTGGAGGCTCGACCCTGGGCCATGCGCACTTCCACTGGTTCCATCAACACTGTTGGTATTGGTATCCTATATCTCTACGGTTACTCTGATACCAGGGGTTGGTGCTGTTGACCTATCAGTACTATTGTGACCTATCAGTACGTACTCATACAGACGACAGTCTCTTTTCTAGTATACACAAATCCTAGGCAGTTCTCTCCAAAAAGAACAAATTTGTTCTTTCATATCTTCTTCTAGGATTCTTGTATCAAAAGCGCGTGGTCTCCTGTCTGTTGGGGCCATATATTTTTTTTATCAAGAACTATATAACGTGGCCATTGAGGATTGACAGATTCACTCGGCCAAGTCAGGCAAAGAAACAAAACAGCCAATACCGAACCAAAGAGGAGTTCATGGGAGTTTGCCATGAGGGGCACAAAAGCCTTGGGGGTGGCTGAAACTAAGTGCTTCCCTCAAAAAAGGGCTCAAATGGGGTGCTTTGTTGAGTTCCTCTCTTGTGAGCTCAATTCCAGCCACCAAAGAAACATCCATGTTCTTGGACTCACACAAAATGCGTGCGGGACATACGGGAGTTGACTTCCCCCTTCACCCTGGAAATGCCACCACGCCTCATCCATGACCCGCAAGAACTGGCTGGTCACGTCAAAGAGGATCCTGGAGAGCGACACCAAAGCTTCTGAACCGCTTTTGAACTACTGCATGAGCCTTGGGCCTTGGGAGGTCTTAACGCTGCTCTGTTTTGCCGCAAACGATCGGCTGTGGGGCCCAGTCAAGAGGGTGCCAACCCGAAGGATGGCAGATCCGACGCTTCGGGTGAGCATGAATGCACGTCCGTGCAATAAATGCTAGAAGTATCTAGAAGTTAAGTTTGCTGGTTTCAGCGTGCGGAGTAGATTGTCTAAACATGCCAAACGTGTTCAGACTGCTAGATTCTCCCACAAAAAAGAGACTTTGGATCAAACCACCCTCATTCCTTGGATGTCCTTCCGAGCACCAATGAAATATGGAAATATGGCAACAAGACTCTTCGAAGATGCACACTGCACACTCCCCAAGTGCCATTGTAGATGTCCCCCAAAAAGGAATATCCATGAAACAAACACAGCAGTCAGGCAGTTTCTTGAGTGCTGTGCGACATCTACGATTGTAGTGCAACCATGTGCCCGATGTTCTCATTTCTCCAAATGCATGAGTTTCATTACGAAACCATGAGTTTCATGGTCTGTTTCAACTGTGCAACTTACACAACCAACATTCCCAAAAGCGGGGGGAGCTTCCTTGAAGAAGCGTGTAGTAGCTACTTGTTTGCTACTAGACTAGCGACTCCCTAGCTTCTACTAATTAGCTACCTAGCTCCTAGCTTCTACGGCCTACCCCCTTAAAAAAATAAACATACGAGTAGATAGCAATAAACAAACAAAAGAACAACAAAGAGCTGTTGCAACCAACCGTGCAAACCCCTTTCGCCTCTTTTTCCCCGCCTGGCGTCTCTCGGCTCCAGAGGCGAGGCCTCCAGACGCGAGCCAGAGACAGGAGGTAGACCCGAGGTCCGGTGATCCGGGGGCATCTGCAGGATGGATATATACGTTCCGTTACATATATATATATGTATATATATATATATTCTGTATAATTTTATGTATTATAAAGGTCCACCGTCCACTTGCGACGACAAAATAAGGTATACACATATAAATATATATATATGTTCATAGATGTTTTCCTCTGTGTTTTGTCTTTTTATAATTTTAGTTTTAATATGTCTATACAATAGGATCCAAAATGAACTTGACGACTGATATCAAATGAATAATTACATCTGAGGATCCATGCACTCCTTTGTCTCATCACGTCTCTCACATCTGCGAAGTCATCAACGTTTGTGCTGTGGTTTCCGCTCTCATTATGCCCAACAGGGGTTGAAGACAGCCTCCCAAGGATTCCAAAAGCCCCTCTTTGGAGGGTTAATCATCTTTCAATCCTGTCTTTGGCCCTGTTTCTTGGAGCGAAAACCAATATAAATTAGGTTTATGTTGAACAACAAAATATCCATGAGCAGCATCTTTAAGAAAAAGTCGTAAACACACACACACACAGAAGTCCTCACGACCAAAGGCTTCACCTGCTCCCGTTGACCACAGTCTGCGAAGAGATTCGCCTCCTTCTCCGCCTCACTGGGCAGTTGCAATGGGTGCAAGGCCACCAAGTCATGGAGCCAGCTGCACAGGGCCTGTCGCGAAGAAAACAGAGGTTGGGCCTCAAGGTCGGAAAGAGGGCCTCAGGTTGGTTGGATGTATCAGAATGTAACCATCATCCCCTGCCATCCGAAATTTTCCAGACTTAAGAGCATCAAACCATGCATCGTTTGACCCTATGATCCAATCATGGGTCAAACCCCAACCACTCCAAGAAATCGAATGTTTCGACTCACTGACTGTGAAGTTGAGTCCAAACATCATCAGCTCCTGTTGATCCTCGAACATCGTCAGATCTTCCACGGGCTTCCGTGCCTCGCGAGGTTTGTCACCGAGCCACAGAAAAACATGGGAACCGGCCCAATGCCCCTGGGATTCGAACCGCCAGTGTGATTTCATGTGTTTTACCCAACAATGATTGTTTGACGGATTTCTCCTCACCAGCGGCTGATCTGAGGCGAAGAAGCCTAGCAGCCTAGCATCCTAGCGTCGAGCCTGTCAAGGTGTTGATGGTGAAGATGCAGTAGAGTTTCAAACAAATATGGTCTCAGTTTATCTCAGTTTGTCGTGTTCACATGAAACACACTGGTGGTCAAACACTGCGCATGACAAATTCAGCCAAATCCATGCGCTTTCTGCTGCATGGCAGGATAAGATCGCCTAAACATCTACCCAGCAAAGGTGCTAGCTAATGTAGACTCTCGATTCTATTTCAACCAATCCAAGCCTGAAGAGCTTTTACAATCCATGTCTTGGGTTTGATGAATCAAGTGTTCGCTAGGAATGAGGATGAATAAGGCGAATAAAATGAGCCTGCATCCCAAGCACCTCTCCCCCCGGTGTCCCGGAGCATCCCCTCGGTACTCATCGGCACTCTTCGGTACTCATCGCTGGGAGGTTGTTCATCCCAAAAACACAAAAAAATGGCCGTGGGGACGCCTTGAGCGAAAAGAAAACATGAAATCTGGGCTGAGCAAACAAATCTACAGATGTTATTTGCTTCCTCGTCTTTGTTCCACCTTGATCAGGGAACAGTCCTAGCAAATCGCCGCACACTTGATCGGCTCAAATGGTGTGACCATCTTCTGTATATCATCAAATGCCAAAAACTCTGCTTGATCCGGGGAGCTTCCATGAGATACCTAACTTATCCCCCTTCATAAGTTGTATACAGAAATTCTTTGAACAGCTTAAGACACGCTGGAGGAGTCGGTTTACCTCACCGCCATGGCTGAGTTAGAGATCTGGTTACATGTCACGTCGGCTTCAAGAGACGGTTCTCCTCTTTTCTAACTTTATGGGAAACGTCCCAACTTTCCGCGACATCATAGGCTCCGAATTGCAAGGAACCCCGAAGTCTCCGATAGTTTGACCACTTGTGTAGTACCCTCATTCAGTCAGGTCTATGTGCAATGTGTTGATTTCAAATGGGTTCCAAATGGTTCCATAGTGACGCAACTAGATTAGATACACTTCTGAAACCATGCATTTATGTTCCTTCCTTCATGCCCAAGACTCGGGCCACGCCTGCTTGGCTAACAACGAATCCAGAAGAGCTTCCCTGAGCGCCTGCAGCACCAATGACCGGCGTGTGCTAAACGAGACCCTACGTACGTAGCGTCCTTGCTAGTAGTTAGTAACAACGGCATCGCTAATTACTAGTAACAAGGGCACTACTAGTAGCAAATCGCTACTAGTAGCGATGCCCTTTCCTACTAGTAGTGACGCCCTTTGTTCCTAGCCTTCTAGCTCCTAGTAGTAATGCCAGGAGCTCCAGAAGGTTTTCTGATCTACTTATGTCTATGACAAACTGACAAACCAGAGGAATTTGGTGCAGAAGCTGATCTCAAGGAGCTCCCCTGACTGCAATTGAGAACTTTGTAATGGAAGGTCACAACCGGATGCTCCTGAAGAAAGAGCGCGTACTCCAATCACCGTTCCAGCCGGTCAAAAGACTCACATTCCAACGATAGTTCAACCAATGACGTGAGATAAACCTTTTGCAACAAGGGCTACCAAGTCATATACCAAAAAAAACTGGAGCCCTTTACATGTACAATTCATATATAGATACATATATTCCAAGTAGACGTCTGCTTCCCACCGAGACATCCGTCGAGACATCGAGCCGTTTGATGTCGTGGTTGGCCGCAAAGTGTGTTTCAGAAGCCTCCTTTGATTTGGAAACAAAAAAAAAAGAACATGGCGAACAATTGCAAACAAGTTTGATCATCTATGATCATCTTAGAGAATTCTGGTCATCTCTCTGCCAAAAGAGCTGGCCCGGCAAGGGGCCAAGTGCCTCCGTTCAAAGCTCCAACTGACCAACTGGCCAACCAAGTCGGTACCCCCCCCCCACCCTGGCTGCAAGGCTGAAGGATTCACCTCGGCAGTGAGGTGTGGGAGTGGGAGTCGCTGAGCCAGTTCAAAGGATGATGCGTTTGGACGGGCGGTTCTTGGCTTTTTGGGGCCCCGCATGGTGATGGCTCCATCCTACAAGAGTTCAATAGGCGAAGTGGATAGCCTAGCCTGTGCAAGTGAATGTCTTTTTTGTGTCTTGACATGTTTTGACCATGTGCAACACTTCCGGAATCGCTTTCGTTTTGTGAAGGTGGTTCTAAGAACACATAGGGTGCTAGAGGACGCACTTTTCTGGTTCTGCAGTATGCAGCACAACCTAGACCTGGCCAAGAAAGGTCTTTCAGACAATGTTCCTGCACTCCAGCCAGCATCAGCTCAACTCATCAACTGGACCAAGCTTCCGGTCAGTTCTGATACAGTAGCATCAATCCCCATCATCCGTGACCAGTTATGTCAGTTACGTCGTCAAAAAGTTTTGCACCCTGAAAGGCCTCCCTGATTCTACATATCTGGAAGGCTATGAATCACATAAATATTCAAAAGCATGCAGAAGCCTTGCCACGGCTTGGATAGGCTTGGAACATCTGGCCATCTCAAGGAGCAGAACGTCGCTCCGTCTTGAAACAAAGACCCGACTGGGATCCACTGGGCATATATTCTCCCCCCCTTGCGGCTCTTTGATCCTTGGCAGAGGTACTCAATTGAAGCATCGTCATTCGACCATGTAGCGAATCTATTCGCTTTGGCCAAAGAACCTCACAAGCCTCAGTGGGCTGCACGATAACCACGGACAAGCCAAGACGCATCGAATCCATAACTCTTCACAATCTTCTGGATGGATATGCACACGAAGCACCTGCCCACTGCTTGATTTTTTAGTCTACCCAGTTCTTTTTCGGTGCTGGGCGCCGAGGACAAAAGCTGGTGAATTGGCTGTTGCTGGTCGGAGTTGGAAGTAGAAGAGGTAAAAGTAGTATGAAGTTGTATGAAGTTGTCATGGTTAGTTACTCTGGTCGTAGCAATGCTCCCAACCAATCAGGCCAAGCAAGGGGTGTTACAGCGCCTTTGTCGGGGCTTCTCATTGAAGCACTGTCAAGTAAGAAGACGGTCAGGAAACGTCTGTTTCGCAGCCCCACAGGGTGAATCTGGTTGTGGCGGGAGGCCTGGAGCAATCTGCAAAGTGCCACCAAATGCAACCCTTGCAACAAGAGCACAATCTTCCATCTCAAAAAAGTAAAGTATCTGAAGCTGAAGCTTCAGTGCAACAACCTAGGATTTTGAAGCCCAAATCAGTCCTCTTCTACTAGAAGTGTGGTCTGATGTACATTGGATCACTCACTCCATTCTTTCAATTCCTTGCTCCTTCTTCACACACCCACCCCCGCGAGTAGCAAAGCAGCTGAGCAAAGCCTCGGAGCACTGAGGTGGACAGCGGGGCGTCACGTAGCTCATCCAATCCGGCTTGCAGGCAAAGCAACTCCTCGGTTTTTCGACGCTCCCGCAGGCGCTTCGGGGACCCAGCAGGCGCTATAGAGGGCTGAAAGGTCTGGGTGGAGGAGTGAATCTTTTGCGTGAATTTGATTGACTTTGGGGATCTGGATTCGAAACATAACATATCCACAAAAGTCCCAAAAACCAAACCCCCAAGAAGGGTGGAAGACAGCCACAAGGATGAAACAAATGAAACACTGAAAACCGCTTGCATCTGGTAAAGGACAGGTCCCTACTGTTGAAATCTGAAGTTCTGTGCTGATTCTTCTCATCTACGATTGTCACCACACAATCAAAGGTTCTGACGGTGCCTCAGAGCAAGTCTTCTCCGCTGGCCTCCAAAAACAATCGGTATTATGAACAGCAAATACACACCAGGGCCACAGCCAAGAAAAGATTGTTTTAAAAGCTACTCACTCATGTGCAAGTGCGCCCGCAAGTTGCAACACATTTGGGGCACAAATTCCGTCTGGCCGCGGGTGGCTTCTCTTCTTACCAGGAGTTACACGTGTTGCAACATCTATTGGATCACCCACGCAGTCGAACTAGCTAGACCATTTCGCATGGCAGGTGCGGGACGGTCAATTATCATCCTTTTGTTTAAGTACACACATGTACTTTGGAGGCAGGAACTTCGACTGCGGAAGTGATATATTGACTGCAGGATTCTCAAAGGAAGTGGTTTTCACTCTAAAATACTCTACATAGAACAGCATTTTTCTTGGTGGTGTATAATCTGCGAATCTTGAACATGTCAGGTCTCGTGAATGTTGAAACCATGCAGAAACAAGTTGATATTCTCGTGCAATGCACCTAAATGGCCAGGAACATCCAAGATCTAAGACTTAGACTAAACCCCTTGAGCAAAAGCACGGTTAAACTGCCCAAGTCGTCCCCCAATCGACTTTGGGAGTTGGGCCAGTGTCATCCCAGCTGTGTAGGTCAGCATAGCAGACCAACAATCTGAATGAACCTGAAGCGCTAGATGGGCGCGGCACGCTCACGCTCCGATGGGCCCTCGAGCCTGTCGGCTTGCTAGTGACGTTCGAAGCATAGCATGTTGGATTGGTGGTTCCTCCCGGCCAGTGGTTGAAGCCCTAGCAAATAGCTGGATCCTGCTTCATTCATATTGATGCTCTGGCCAAAGTCCTCGAACCTGATCCAAACCCACGGCTACCCCTGAATCAAGTCATGGTGGGAACTCACGTTCCTCTGAGAAACTCGAATCCCAAGAACTGTCTCCTGAAACAACTCCACGCCATGGGTGGGCCCACCAGGGCCCCCCCAGTATGGAGCTCCCAAAACGCGCCCGCCTTGGGTTGCAGCACCGGGGAGAAGCGTTCCAGTGCGAAAGCAAACCTAAGCCGAGTACGTACAACTGGCCCCCGGTGGGACAAGCCTATGCAATCAAAGCATCGGAGGGAGCTGTTGAATATAATATGGATTGTATTTTCTATGTTATTTTGGATATTAGAGCAACGAGCAAATCTGCGATGCCGTCTTCCCACTGTACCTCCCCTGGAATTCTAGCACTATTCAGACCCAAAACGTCCCGACTTCTAAGACATCCCCGACTCGCACGCAGATTTGTCCTCATCTCATGTAGTGCAAAAAAGAAACGTTCTCCTCCGAGGGGCTGTTCCTTTTCGAGACGCGTGGCTGCTTGGTACTCCTCGCTCTTCATCACCTCCAAGACCTGCACAGAACGAAGGCTTCGCTGTGGCGCGTGGGCTTCGTTGAGAAGGATGGATCAACGAATGACAGACATACTGTCAAGAACGAAAAGCCTTCGGTTTCTGGAAGGAAAGGCTACTGTTTAAAAAGGATAGAATAAGATGTCTATATCATCTACTCGACTTTGGGTCGAATTTATAGGCTTTGTGCCAAACGGATAACTTACACAAGCACTCTACAACCTGCTTGCCGCAAAGAGGGTTTGATCCATATCCACAAGTCCTTGAAAATTATGGTCATGGTGAGCCAAACATCCTGGTGTTTGATTTTATGCCAGAAGCCGCTAGCACGGCCCGCCACAGCTTTCGCTTCTTTAAAGTGAACACTTCGTTACTGGGCTCTTGTTGGTGAGCTCTGCAGTCAACTTAAACTCTCATTAACTATATATATATAGTTTGAATTGAACAACTAGCTTGGGTACGTTGCATGTCAAACGAGGGAGACAGGGAAATAAAGACCCCCCGTAACTTGGCAAAGGGGCTACTGTTTGGGTCTCAGCCTGGCCTCCCTATCCTCGCACAGTCACAACAATCATGCAATAGAGTCAATAGAGATATACATGGATATATTTGATAAATACAATATAGTACCTTGATCGGTCAAAAGCAGAGATGCAAGAAGGACTAAGAAGGACCTACTGTAGCAAATAGACAGATCATGACATCTTTTCCAGATGGGAGCCCATCAGACTAAGAACTTTGCATAGATCTGCCACTCATTTGGCACAAAATGCAGCTGCCTGCGTTACAACCCCTTTGTGAACAGCCACTGCATCAAAACAATTTACCATGCAAAAGCTGAAGCAGCTACTGGTCTCGTGGAAGCAATGACAAATCCTCAGTCCTTGCATTGCAATCAGGGCACTGATTGATGGTGCTCGATCACTCGAACCAGCTTTGAAGGGAAAATGTGCTTCTGGAAGTAGTTGTAGTGTCGTGCGAGCACTTCCTCAAACCTGCACAAGACGGCCGGAGTTTGGGGCCAAACACGGCCCAAGCAACGGCGATTTATGTTTGTTTTCGCACAAAAAGTCTACTCAAAGGGAAAAAGCGGTCTGCTCAAACACACGACGGTGTCTCTGTAAGGACTGCGGTGTCCTTTTGGGTGCTCAGCTACTCTGGGAGCCCCAGCGCGACACTGCAGCAAGAAGCTTTCATGTTGTACTTCGGACACAGCTTCAGGCCTGGAAGATGGGTTCAAATGGGCTCAAAGGGTTTCTAGATGATTCTAGATGGTTTCTGGTCACCAAACAAAACAACCGATGTTGCGTCAACGATGTCCTTCAGATATGAGTCTTGGCATTTCAGTCAGAGCGGCCATTTCTGGTTCAAGCAATGCATGTGCGGGACCAGAAACACAATGTCATAAGGGGCCAAGACTCAAAAATGTGTTTGGATGAGCACTTCGTCAGCACAGAGACAAAAAATAGAGATCTGAGATGAATATATATATATATACTTATGTATGTTCTGAGAAAAAAATGATGTATGTTCTCTTTTGTTTCTCTCTCTCTCTCTCTCTCGCTCTTGGTACCAGTGAGATGCAGAGACGCTACGCCCCAAATTTATGTAGAGTATAATCATGTATATATAATATATAATCGCACTACTCCGCAATTTGAGGCTTCATTGTGGCAATAGAGTACCAAGCAATGAACTCCATTGTAACAAAAATAGCAGAAAAACATGAGTCCATGAGTCCCTGGGCATGTTTCACCAGCAGGATGCCAAAGTTGCTCCAGATCCAGCACAAGTAGATTGAAAGTGGAAAAACTGCAAGTACTGAAGCTGAACATGGTTTTATCATCGAAGTATCATGCCACACAGAAATTGATGAGCAACCGGAGTCAAACGCACCTCGAGAATGAGTAGCCCTTGCTTGGCATATTGAAACTGTTCTGTCCCAAATATGGCTCACCATGGTGCAGTCTTCGCACTCGCAGGTTCACTTCACTGTCTGCCCTACTTACGAACACCGTTGTTTTGGGGTCATCTGGACATCTTCATTGAAGGGCAGAGCTGATTGATTCACACTGTTGGATCTCGACCATTCAGTGTCTCTTTTTCATCTTCTACTTTGCAAGAGCGCCGCAAGCGCGCCCGGTCCGTCAAAAAATACTCCACGAGGACCAAGTCCACCAAACTCCCCACGGAAAGCCCTCAGGGTGTGTCCCTCCAGACTCTTCGGAAAGCTTGGATTTGCTGCTGTCTAGGAACCAGCAAAGAAAACACAAAACATCTTCCCCGATCGCCCGAGTGATTTTTACCTTCCCGACGCATGTTCAAATGTTCCCAGGTGAACGATGAACCCTCCAAATCCAAGCCGCCCGAAAACCCGGGGCCCCACCATTGCCCACCTTTGTGCACCGTCGGGATGCTGCTCAAGGTGGCTTCCCTCTGGGAATCCACCACCTGCCCATCGGCGAGCTACTCAACGCCCAGAAAAGCATCCAGCAGCATCGGCATGCTGAGTGGAATGAGTTCACTTGTTTCTCACGTGAGAAAACACCTTCAACTCAGAACCCCAGACGTACCAGACTGTTACAGGGCGGCAGTTGGACTTGGATGGTCCATGTTCACACATTTCGATGAGCCCCATGCGTGGCAACAGGCCGAAAAAGCGCGAAGAGCATGTTTGGCATACGAGTTGCAGGGTGACTGCAATGCAAAGTAAACAACCCACTAAAAGCCTATCATGGCGTGGACAAAAAGCATTCGTGGGATACAGTTTCCATGGCGACAACATGATCAAAGAACAATATCCACCATCCAGAGCCGGAATACCCAGCTAGTGATATGGTGCCAATGTCATCCCTAGCGGCTAAAGTATAGAGGCCATTAGGACCGTTGACTGACATGTCCTTCAGCCCAGCGCCTGTGCTACAAAACAGCAAGGCTTACAAAAGTACATATGGGGCCATAGTCAAAACTGGTTGAATTTGGTGAAACTGAGTTTGGCGACTCCCAAGCCCCCTTTAATATGTTTTATTGTCAAGAAGCTTGCCACATTGAGCAGCCACAGTTTACGGTCCACGACCATGCATTCAACCATGAGCTGGCTGGCTCACACCCGATCCTCCAGACTATAGACCGGGGTTTGTAAAACAATCTCAAAGCTTCGACGCCCGAAGCTGGGATTGCGAGGAGGAATGTTCTGCAAGCAGCACAAGCAGTAGACACAAAGTTCGCCGTGGCAGTGGACACTTGCTTTTGCTCCCGGCAGAAGAGTTGAGCAACTTATTTATGCTCCGACATGGAGACTTTTGACTTAGCTGATAGCACTTTGTTCGGGAAACAAAAAGTCACTCAGTGGTGCCCTGGCAATGCCCCTGCCTGGTTTGCTTAATGGCAAACGATTTTCCTGTGATATTGCTTTGCTCCTATAGGTCTGGATGTCACAATGCTACCAAGAACTTCGCGTAGCAATCAGCAATGAGCCTTATTAGTGTATACTGAATCATTCTAGACTTCCTGTTGCTTTCAGTTGAAACCTTTTTGTTGGTTCCTTTGGGATTTGGGCCCAGTCTTATTGATGTCTTTCTCAATGTGATTCCTTTCGAAGTCCTGTTTGCCACTTTGGTGTGCCTCTTTGATCTGTAGTTGAAGTTCCATGAAAAATCCCATTTGAACGCACATCGTCATGCGATCCATCGATGATCCAGAATCCCACCAGGCCATCCGTGGTATCCATCTCAATCTCTCTCTCTCTCTCTTGCGCTCTCCATGGGTTATATCAGTAACAAGAAGCTACTCATAGCTCCTGGCATTACTAGTAGGAACAAGAAGCTACTAGTAACAAAGGGCAACACTACTAGTAGCAAGGACACTACTAGGTGGAGGCCATCGCAAGTAGGTTGGAGGCCATCGCTGCTAGGAGCACGAAGCTACTAGATCAATAATGGATGACTCGATGATGACTCGATGACCATCCATCCCTACAGAATCAGTGTCCTCTCATGAAAATCAGTGAAGAATTGTGAGGAACAGTTCCTCTGATGCGTGAAGAGTTAAGAGCCCCTAACAAATGGCTTCTTTGCCGAGCCACAGTTGCTGATCCATACTCACCAAACCAATGCCTCGGCTCGGCACCGACAAGGGTCGACCGAGCAAATACCGACAAGAGCCAGGCAGCCAAGTGCATCCCGTCAGAATCCTATAGAAATATGCATCTCAGAGCTGCAAATGTGGGTGTATCTCAACTATTCTTAACAACCGCTTAAATATGTATAATTAATGTGTAATATTGTACATTAATGTGTATATATATATATACATATACTCAGTTATGTTTATGTATGTATATACTATATATATATACATATACCTTGCATTGAGAGTAGATGGCACAATCTGCAAAAGGTGGTTTATCTAGACCCCCATCTAAAAGGTTGTGCCATCTACTTTGAAACCACCGTAGTTTCTATCAGGAAGTTCTTCATTTTCGAACAAACCCATGTCTTGTTGGTAGCATCAAGTCCGATGTCCAAACGAGCTGAGTCCAGCCGAAGCCCGATGTGTAGCGATCAACCGGGCTTTCTTTGTGAATCCAAGCAGCGCTTTGTAGAGAGGATCATGGCATTGGTGGTCCAATGCAGTCACTGCGACCAGCAAGCTTTCGAAGATCCGCATTGAGACCGGGCGGCGAAATCGCTTGCCCCCAAAACCATGCGCATTACATGGTCGGCTGGAGAATGAGTATCAAGTTTCCTTCAAGTGGTTAAGTTTGGAAACACATTGTGCCTAGGTTCACTGCAGGTTGTGTGAAAGTGCGCTCGGTTGAAAAAGTGAAGAGCCACAATTGCCAACAAGAGGTCTGGCTGCAGTCTGGCTCCTTTTGGATTTGTACTTTGGTTCTATATGTTACAGTATATGCTGCTGTGTTGTGGGGAAGACTTCGGCTTCTCTTGTCTTCTGGGAGGACTTCGACTCAGTCACAAGGCCTTAGAACTTTTTCTCTCCAGAGCTTCACAAGGCCGGCACAGGATATCATGATCCTCTTCATACAATGTCACACGGCTTTCCGGACAAGGTGAGATCCACATCCTCGCGAAGCTCAATCATCCTCACCTTGTGAGGCGAAATCGTGTTCCAGTCCGGTAACTTGATGCTCTCCCTCGAGCGACTCCTAGAAAGCAACGTCACGATAGTCCAGGATTGAGAAACAAAGGCACCCTGCACGTCTCTCATATCATCTTCACAGTGGAAAGTCCTTTCACTGTTACAGCATTAGATATACAAGAATGACAAATTATGATTCGGTTTGTATAGACATATCAAACTTATAGTAAAATGGTATGACAATATAAATGTTGTTGGACCTCTCCGTGAAGAATGACCTGACTCACAGCCCCAACTCGTTCTCAGCCCTCTCCAGCGGCCTTTTGGTCTCCCGTCTTAACGCTGCAGGAGATGTGGCGCATCTCGTGGCCACCCGCAGGTCGAAACTAATCCATCGCCCTTCGTGACTGGAAATGCAGGTCACCTGCAGGTCCAAAAAGACTCAGAGTAACTCATGTAGACTGTTGATTCATCATCAACCCCCCCAAGCCTGAAGATTGCTCAATTCATATCCCGGACAGGGCTTAAGGTGGTGATCACTGGGTGATGAGCTGCGATAATGAACGCCAAAGGCTGCGCAAGGGATCCACCCTCAAACACTGAAGAGAAACATTAAAATCACCCTGAGCACTGGCAGTACTGCAAGAATCCGGGAAACTCCTAACATATCTGATCCTTTGTTACTAGTAGCGATGTCAGGAGTGCCTAGTAGCTTCTTGCTACTAGTAGTATGGCCAGGAGCCCCTAATAGCTTCTTGTTACTACTAGTAATGCACTTGTTCCTAGTAGCGATGCACTTGTTTCTACTAGCTTCTTGTTACTAGTAGTAAGGCACTTGTTACTACTAGTAAGTCACTTGTTCCTAGTAGCGATGCCCTTGTTCCTCCTTGTTCCTAATCTGTTCTGGTCATCCTTTGGAACCAAAAAACTGCTCGCCTCGGCTCGCGCCGTGTCGGTGACCCACGCGCCGTGGCGTCACAGGGCGTTGTCACTGGAAGACCTGAAAACGGGTCCGTCGTCGCACGACGTGGAGACCAACAGCCGTCCGACACCGGTGAAATGGACGGTTGTTTGAGCAGACTCCATTTATATTAGTATATAATAAATCTATAAATCTATAAGCGGTTTGAGTGAGACCATCACGGCACTGCTGCAACTCCTCTAGGGCTCTAGAAGGACCAGAAACGGTGGGTGCATGACCTGAACCTGACTTCGGTGGGAATCGGAATCGGTCCACACCTGGGAATCAGAAGGTCATGATCTCCAGGTGCAACCGTTCAAGGAAAGGAGGTCACCGACGTTCACGTCGTGTTTGGGGGAAGGCAGGCAAGTAGTTAAAAACATCGGAGCCGCAAAAAACATCGGGAATAGTGTTTTTCACCATCGGGAATCTGACAAGAATTCGGAGGGAAGCACAAAAGCACCCCATGTCCCGTGGAGGGAATTCGAGCTGGATGTCCCTTCGAGCTCTTCCAGCCACACAATCATTGAATCATGCATCCGAATATGTCGTGGCAATCAACTCATGACTGAGGGTGTGTCGCATGATCTGATTCAAAAACACACCCCCAACCCATGCCAAGCCCATGTATATTACATTATATTTACGTCACGGAATCTTGAGGCTGGCACACATGGGATGCCAGCTTGGCAAGAAGTGACGAGATAATATGTTCAAACAGTCATCGGTCAATGAGCCTGCATCATGTTTGCAAGCCAAGAAAGTCCTACGGCAACCATGGAATTGCGCCGAAAGTATGGTTGGTGATTCAAACCATCCCCCCAAAACGTGTTGATCAATTGAGATGAAAATACCCTCTGTTCAACAAGCGAGGAAGTGGAACATAACCTTTCGACAAGACAAACTTGTCACAAGCAAGACCTGGAGACGCCACCTTGCAATTGTCTGAGGGACGCGGAGTACCGACCCCAAACGTGCAACTGGTGGGATCAACATGCTCAAGTAGGGACAAATAGAAGACTCTGCAACTTCGGTAGGGCCTCCACAACTCCAAGCACATCCGCCCTCTGGTCTAACAGCTCCACTGTGCTCCGAACGCTAGGGAGATCCTGATGACTTTGCCTCGGGACGGAGGGCAACACCCAATGTCACCTCGTTTCACCCAAGAAGCACCTCCGGGAAACTGCTTTGCTCATGTGGCCATGCTATCCATCTGACATGTTTGCGGTGTCACACCCCATCATCGCCGTACGCTTTTGTCGTTTTTGAGCAATTGCTCCCAACTTTGTGTGGTATTTGCGGTGTTTTCTGATTTCCGCAGGGCCACTAAAGGGAACGTGAGATACATGATACATGTCAATACTAGCGGGTGGACAACCGCGCTACTAGTCGTGCACAAAAAACAGACACGAAGAGTTTGTCTGATGTCGTTGCACAAATGATGCCACATGCACAGACACTTTGGAAGATGGGGGGTGGGGTTGGGTTGGGGTGGGTCGGGGGGTAACTACGTTCGGTTGGATGTGCTTGGAAGATGATACCGCATGCACACACGATTTCGAACATCATGCACACACGCTTTGGAAAAACATGTTTTCTCTCTTGAAGCTCATGGACAAATGGTTCGTCGTCCTTGGACTAACAAAAACACAGGTTCAAAAAAATGTCCCAAACACACGGCTGTGTGGGGGCGTGTTACCATGTTTGTGTCACATTGGGAGCCATACCTTGTGGGCCGTACCCTGGAAAACATGGTGAACATCAGAAGAACTTTGAGCAGCCATGGCTACAGCCTTACTTGTATTCTGGAAACATCATTGAGAAAACAATCTGCAGAATTCTGCAGATGGTGCACGATGGGGTTTCCTGGTGAAGTTGAACTCTTCAACTGTCGGATCCAAGTCTGTCACCCCGAATTGGCCTCGTTGTTCAATGGTAGTCATTGAGGTCAAGATCTAGCTTCCCTTGATGGGTCACAAATCTGGAGATGACAAATATTGTGTTTACAAATCAATCTGTGTTTTGCAAGTGCTTGAAAAACATAGCGTAAACAGGGCATCATTTCACATGTGGGATCGGTTCACATCCCTCTGAACCACGTGGTGGTAGATTCTTGGATTGCAGGGTCCCGCGGATGAGCACCAAACTGCGTGGCTTGGTAGCCGCATGGACTCTTACACCAAACATAGCCAAACATTAAGTTAGTGAGATTTTTGGGGCTTTAACCCGCTTGTAGAGCATCAATCACCATCACATGACAAGCCGCTGGTTTCATGTGTTCTGGACAATCCAGAAGAAATAGGCTATACAGTACATCTATACATGATTCTTTTTGGGTGCACACATCCCTCCAGCCGTTGCTCTCCTACTTGTAAAGCACATGAAATGACCAAGCGGGCCAATGCCTCACGTCTTGGAGCCATGGTTGTTCGTGATTTATCAAAATGAAACGCCAAAGCAAAGTCTCATCAACCCCAGCCTTGGACATGCAGCCCTTCCAACTGCTCCAAGTTGAGAAGTGAAAAGCACAGGAAAACGACCCACGCAGTCTAAAACGAACCTTTGGAACTCGGACACCGTTCACCGCTCTCATGGGTTTTGTTGAGGCATTTTAAACGAGACCATGGGGCAAAAGGTTATCTTGGCAAATCGTTTAGCATGGTCATGCTTCTTCAGGCAAGCTCAGAGCGGATTGGTTCTTGGAGGATCTTTTCCAACCAGGCGGCCATCCGAGCCGCCCACCACCAGCTCATCTCGGCTCAGCCAAGCCTCGAGGATTGGAGGATGAGCCGCTCTGACCATCAGATGCTGAAAGCTGAAAACACTGAATTTCATGGTGAACATATTTTTAGACAGGACATGATACGGACTCTTGAGAAATACGCGGATCAAGCATCTTGGTCATTATTTTTAAATTGTTGCCTCCCGAATTTGTTAAGATCACCACAAGACCTGGAAGGAGCCCAGCTGCTGAAGGATGCTGAAGAAGAGCCCGCAGGTCACCGTGACGCAGGCCACCGTGACGGTGCCCAGTGGTGCTCCAAGTGCGGTCTCTGTATGGTGCCAGTGTAGTCTCTACTTGAAATGGTTGGATGTAAAAATACACTGCTTAGATCTGGAAAAGTGGAACCAAACGTTTTCATAATTCATGCTCGAATAGATGCCGTTCACTGAGTGTTGGTATAGTTACGTAGCTTGAAAGAGTAGACGGAGTGGAGGTTCGGTGGTGTTTGCTGAACGCGTATTGTTCTGGATCGAGGAAATGTGATATGCCGACACAACTTGACTGTTGCCTTTTCAAAACCAGAAAACAGTTTCTTTTAATATATTGAGGAACACAGACATGCAGCATACCAACAAATAAATCGATCATTCAAGAGTCAATGCAGGCGTCAAATCTTATTTGCTCTTATATATCTTCATGATTGCTCCAACAACATTTCACTCAAAACATTAAGCAAAGCATCCAAAATCATCTTTGTTTCGCTGCCTCCGAGGACCCAAGTTACTCCAACATCACAACAAGCCAGCGGCTTGTCGGAAAAATGTCCATTCAACCCCAAATCCTTCACTCGGCCGAGTGATTTGCTTGATGAAACAGAGCACCACGCTTAGCTTGAACAGCTTTAAGAGACAGCCTGGTCACGCCCACCAGTCGCCCTCCACACAGTCGCCCTTCTGTGATCTTT